TGCATTAGGTTCAGGAGTTGTTTGCAACCGTTGCTGCATTATACCTTGTCTACCTTTGTTATACTATATCCTTGTTACCCTGGTATCCGCAGTCGAGTCAATGCTTAGCTGGCTTAGACCGGTAGAAGTCGGGTGATTTCCTGTCACCTGCGAGCTATAGGTGGTTACCTGGATCTGCTTAGAGAACTATATAGTCATGGTATAACTAAGTGTTAAATAAAGTTGAGATCGGACGGAGACTTACAGAGTTTTGAACTGTAGTGCTTTCCGTCTGTGTCGATTAAGGACCGACCGTTGTTGGGCCTCAGGTCATGTTGAACGCATGCCTTACATTTAGCTGGCCGAATAAAGTACCTTTCGACCGCGAAGCTGGGAGATTATTCGGGCCGAGTAGATTCCCCGCAGCGCACTGTATCGGAGCAAGTGTGGTAGGACACGGGGGCGAGATGATAAGACCAAAGTGCAGTCGGTCGGCCCCCGGGTACATGTGGTTCCTGGCAAACTCGAGATTCCTGGATAGTTGACTCGGTGACCGATACCTCACTTTAGCGGGTGAGTGAGGTTTGTGTAAGGAATAAAGCACCAGCTGGTTAGAATTGATTCGAATCGCCATCGCTCCTGGATAGTGAGCACTTGACTTGAGTTACTTCATCGTAGTAATGATTATGGAACACTTGGACAGTTATAATGAATGTGACATTATGGAAGTTGTTAATGATCATTGGTTATCATTATTTGCTTAATCACATGTTTGCTCTAGTATAGGTGCAAATCTAGTCGACAGGTTAATAATAAATAACTTGACAATAATGTTTTTGAAAAGGTTCTTGAAATGCTAAAAATGCCTCTTTTTGTAAATGAGTCAGCTACCCTACGATAAAGCCCTTCATAATCCTTAGTGTCACTTTATTTTCGGTTATGTCGGGTAAGTCTAGCTGAGTACCTTCTCGTACTCAGGGTTTTATTCCCACTTGTTGCAGATGGACAGATGTATTACGGCTACTGTATCAACTGTCTTTATCCTGCGATGGGTGATGCTTAGGACCATGGGCAAGGTCATTCCTTACGTCTCGTCTGATGCTTTTGTTGGAGATGATCATTAGCTGGCACTGTATTTGAACTCCGTGTGAGTGTGTGTGGTTTTGAACAAATGGCTTCCGCTACTTCTATTTTGAACTCGTTTTGTAATAACTATGTTTAAACTCTGATGTATCTGAGATGCGAACTTTTATGTAATATGTGATGGTGACCGCTAAACTTATTACGATCTTGGCTGGTATGTGAGTTGGTTTGCAATCCTTCATGATTTCACGGACTACCGGGTTATACGGGCTTAAGTTTGCTAAATCGTCTACTCTGGCGGATGATTTTCTTACTTAATTTCGTATAATTGATCGGTTCGGTTACAGCAGCCGACGGTGTCGCGATCAAGCGCCAAGGCCGAGTATCGCGCGGTAGCCAACGCGGCTGCTGAGTGCGTAGGGCTCCGCCAGCTGCTCGGCGAGCTCCACTGCAGCATCAACAAGGCGACGGTGGTGTTCTGCGATAACGTGTCTGCGGTCTACATGTCGTCGAACCTCGTCCATCACAAAAGTACAAAGCACGCGTTGAGCTCGACATCCATTTTGTCCGAAAACGAGTTCAAATCGGCGATCTCCGAGTGGTCCACGTTCCTACCTGCGAACAGTCCGCGGACGTCCTGACGAAAGGCTTGCCGACGGCGACGTTTGAGCCTTTCGGTCCAGTCTTTGCGTGGTGCCGACCACCCTTCAGACTGCAGGGGGTGATAAGGATATGCGCCAGGTTCCCAGCTCCAACCGTTCCGGCTCTGACTGGAACGCGACCACGATGTACACTAGTATAGATGCAGTTGCTAATGCAGCAACCTGGTTGTAACATATATAACATTCATTAGAGATCAGTAGACAACTGTTGGCTCTCTATTTTCCTCTACACTCACAGACATCGTTGCTCGCCCCATCTTTTCAGACTATCATCAGTCGTCTTGCCGCCTCATCCACGTGGCCATCGGCCTCGCCAGCATGCAGTCGCACAGGAGCTCCATGCCGTCTTGGAGAACCGAATGGAGCTTCTCGCTACAGTCCCGGACGGTGTTTATTGTCTGGCCGAATGGAGTATTGTTCGATGATGACCGACCACTAATTTGATCAAGACACGCCGCCATTACACGCCAGCTTTGGTTGGAGGAGATCAAACCAAACACATTTATAAGAGAGAATTCCTTATTTGACACGAGACAAATGACAAATGACCCGCCCTCAAAAAATTTATGTTCCCTATTTGACATCAAGTTCAACTTTCATTTCTTATACGACACTCCATTGGGTTTGCCATCCGTGAACCGTTAACTGCCACGTGAAAAGACGATTTTGCCCCTGTGGGCCCCCCACCCTTCTCCCTCCTCTCCTCCCTTTCTCCCGACGTGTCCGCAGAGACGCTGGAGCACGCCCCTTCCTTCCTCTTCCTCTTCCTCCAGATCTAGCGGCGCCCACCCACCAGCGTCTTGGGGAGCGCATGGCATGGCGCTGAAAGGACCACCGCGTGGGTACCCGTCCATCCAGCCGATCGGGCGACGGGCGCCACCCAGAAGACGGCGTCGGCTCTCACCTCCGGACGCGGTCGGATGGCGGGAGGTGCTGCCTCGACAGAGCCCGCCACGCAAAGGTCCCGGCCACACGGAGGGCCGTGTGCCTCGCCACCGCGGCATCTCGGAGGAGCTACGCGACACTACCTCAATCTGCTCATCTTTTCAACCACGCGACGCCGCCACCGTCGGCCTCTGTGGTGCCACCCGCCACGACTTATGGCACTTGGCAAGGGATCGCACGCGCGCCAAGACTACACGAGCGCCCGCCGGCGAGGGTGCTCTGGCGACGGACGAGAGCGCGATCTGCGCAGACGAGGCCGGGCCGGCGGCCGGACACCTCGATCGGTTCGTGGCCGGCTCGACACACCATTGGTTCACACCACCGGCGGCATGCGTGACTGAGCTACTCTAGCGACGTGCGTGATCCATCGCCGCCTAGGCAACCGGACACCAAGCCTTGAGTGGCGTCTTTGCATCATTCAAAGACGGCTAGCGCCATCAACGACGCCGAGGAGGCTCTGCGGTACTCACTCACCGTGCTCGTGGCCGACGCATCTCGGGAGGTCCTCTCCTCTGACGCCGTTCGGGCCATCGGCAACATCCAAGGGGTCGAGGAATGGAGTTTCTCCGTCATCCAAGGGGAGGAGAGGAGGGAGAAGGGTGGTGGGGCCCATAAGGGCAAAATCGTCTTTTCACATGGCAGTTAACGGTTCACGGATGTCAAACCCAACGGAGTGTCGTATAAGGAACGAAAGTTGAACTCGGTGTCAAATAAGAAACGGAAATTTTTTTAGGACCAAGAAAGGAACGGGTCATTTGTCTGGTGTCAAATAAAGAATTCTCTCCATTTATAACAAGCTAGTAACCGGAGCAAAACTCTATGAATGAAGAATCGATATCTGGTCCAAATCTTCATTCGGCCCGTTCGGCCCATACTTATACCCTGTCATCATCGGCCATCAAGATGGCAAAAGTGTTTGTGTACATGCTGGTGCCAGGCCTTATTGGGCTTTACAAGCAGCCATGGTTCACCACGTCGAATCACAGGTCCGTGCGTTTCACGGCCAATGCCGCCCCTAGTTCAGTTCCTTACTAAGGGCATGTACAGCGCGTCTTTTGTCCCCGTCTCTATGTTGCTGATTTTACAAAAAGAACCCTCCTTTGGCTTGGAGACGGCCGCGTCGTCGCCTCGCGAGACGACGCTGAGGGCTCGTGCTCCGAGGCCCAGTCGCCGCCTGCAGCGGCGTTGTACGAGTAGTCTTCTCGACTCGACGACGCACGCGGATACAGCATGGGCGCACGTTGAATCTTGTATTGGCGCGCGCAGGAGGATGTTGCCCGTCGTGACCGTCGCTAGCCTCGCGGTTGAGCTCCGCGCCGGCCGCCGTGAGCTGCGCAGGCGAGCTCCGTGCCGGCCGCCGTGAGCCGCGCCAGCGAGGTCTGCCCCGGCCGCTGCGAGCCGCGCAGGCGAGGTCTACCCTGGCGCTGCGAGCGTGCAGACAAGCAAGCTTCCTCCATGGTAAGTCTTTCATGCGTTCTTGTTCAGATCCAGCATGATTCAGAAATTTGTGAAAACAATTAACCATTTTGTGAATCATAATTTCGTAACCTCCTCTCATTTGTTTGTGAACATGCAGCTCTGGTTGGAAAACAGTGGCCACTGTTGATTTCTTAAATTGGGTGGGCAAGAGAGTTGTTTGAACACTTGATTCAGACAGTGCTTGTTTCAGGTGGTTGCTGCTAGTGCTGGTGCATCAGCCATCTCTGAGAGAGATGGGAGCACTACAGGATCTGAGAGACTGTTTTTTTTCTCTATTGATCATCCTGAGTATTTTCAGATTGCATGAGAAGTGATGCATTGGTCACTCAATTTGTGTTCAACTATCTGTAATTTGTTGTGATGCAAATAATTACCTGTCTACCACATTGATTTTCAGGAAGAGGCTTTCGTTATAAGTCTGTTGCTGAATTTCAGACCTGTAACTCTTTCAGTTACACTGAAGTTTCATAATTTTCAGTTAAGCGTGAATCTCATCCCTATGTGTTATATGCATGGCTGAGCAAGTTGAAACCATGGTATGAACTCATATCCGCTAGTGTGAATAAGTGGTGCATGGCTGTCTGTGACTGTCTTTTTTATTTTTTATTTTTGCACAGTTTGGTTTTTGCTTCTTTAGGAGTGATTCTGTAATGTAATATGGTATGTTATTTCATCAAAGGGCAACATATTAGTATACAAAATGGTGTTCATAATTGATCCTGCCTACATGCAAAGCATTAAATAACTTGCAGACGACCCCCTGTCTGTGGGTTGTACGACCTGTCTTTTCAGTTATCTATACATTGGATTCGAGGTTTTTGGAGACGACTCCGTCTGTGGGTTGTACATGCCCTAAGGATCCAATCTAAACATATCGTCATCGTCCTCGCCGCCGCCAATGCCCCCGAGCGATCCCACCACGAAGCCGAGGCTGTTCGGAGAAGGCGGGAAGCTGGCAGTGCCTCTGCCGCCGCTCGCCACGCCACCAAGCACGCCACGGTCCGGCGCCGCCGCCGACGTCACCACCCCGGCCGAGCCCACGACGGCGCCGATCAGCTCGTCCACCTGCATGAGCGAGCCGGCCGACGAGCTGAACACGTTGTCGCTGATGCACCACGACGTGGACAGCTGATCAGCAGCAGCGCTCCCGCCCATCGCCTGCAGGTACTGCGACGAAGAGGCGCCGGCGCCGTTGCTGGCCGCGGCGCCTGCTGCGTTTGCGTTTTTGTTGGTGCCGCTGGGGGGACCGAAGCTGATGATGTTGTTGGCATGGTCGAGCTCGGCAAGGGCGCCGGTGGCGTGGTCGATGAGCGGGATCGTCGAGGGGTCCCGGCACGTGTGCTCGCCGTAGTAGGTGACGACGTACTTGGACGCATCCGGCTCGCAGCGCTGGACCTGCCTCTTGGCGCTGCAGCCCTGGTCTGACTTGTGCGTGCACCTGTAGTAGCTCCTGCAAGCAAACACGTTCCGGGTCGTGATCTCTGTTCGATCCTATCCTTTCGGCCATACTACTATATAACTTGTATATATGAGCACGAAGTATGTATATGTACCTTGGATAGGGTGAGTATTGAATCTCTTTCTGCCCATATTTCCGCCATACGTGGCCATCTTCCAGGGTAGCTGTGATCTTCTTGTCAGAGGGACGCTGTGATCTGCTGAAATATGATGCATGGGCAGATCGAAGTGGAACGAACGAGAAATTAGTCGTCGGAAACAGTACACGACATGTACAAGCTCATGAAGTGAATTAATCTATGAGGTGCTCACCTTTTGCTGGAGCTTTGTTTCCTCTTGTTCCCGCACGAGCTCCCCGATTGCTGTGGCCTCGCACCGTCCGACCCGGCGCTCACATCCAACGCCGACATCGCGCTCGACAACTTGGTCAGGACGCCGTCGATCTCCAGCTGCGCCCACGCCGCGCGCTGGTCGTCCAGCTGCACCAGGAAGGCCCTGAGCCTGGCCGCGCCGTCGCGCGCCTCGGTCAGATGGTTCACCGCCACGGCGGCCCTTGCCGCCGGCACGTCGCTGCCCGACGCCGCCGCCATGGATCGATCCAATAGTCCCTATACCATGCCGTTGATCTAGAAACCCCCGGTGCGCGGCGGGGTTCTGCTTTGTGCGCGGGCTGTTGTTATACCTAGACACGCACTGCACACTCCTCTCTACAATCGAGCGAGGTAGAAAGATGCGAGGAAATGACTTGTGGTGCCGGCTAATTGTGTTTTGTTCTTAATTTACCCCATGGTTAGTTATCTGGGAGGGAAAAGGCGGTATGACAAGGTTGAAAAGAGTGAGAGGACGAAACTGCATGGAAGGAACTAAAGCATGGGAGTCAGTGGAGCCCGGTGCCGGACTGCCGGCGGATTGGCCTCTGGCCGTCGCCGACGGATATACCCAGAGGGGGCAAAGTATGCCACCAGTCTACCGGACCGACCGAACTGCCGCTAGCTCGGTGCAGGTCACGGAGCCGTCATCGCGATGACACAGGCAGCGTGAGATCACGCACACGCATGGTCTTTGACCACAGGGTCACCGGGTCTCGCAATCAGGCAATGCCTCGGCAATTTCTCCGATGACCGTCCATTGCGGGGTCCGACCGGAGACTGACTGGTCTTCGGCGATCGGCATATGCATACACATGGATGATTGGAACAAGGAGACGGAGACCACCAGCTTCATTTTAAACTGGAGACAATAGCAGGTGCTGACGTGTCGATCTTCCTCTCTCCATGTAGGGTTGCGCACGAAATGTTCCGAAACGGCTAGAAATGTGTATCTAGCCAAGGTACGGGAATGCTTGGTTTGTTACCTCAGTCAGCTCAACCAAATCTAAGCCATACCCACAGCCATGACATTGGTCTCAGCTTGATTAATTTGAGACCCCATTTGGATCCTTGGAATTAAATTTATTTTAATAATCATAATTTATATGGATATTAATTAAGCTAATATGGTTGTTTATCGATTATATTTATATAATATTGTTGGCTATATGAGAGAGAGCATACGTCAACATGCACTCGTTGAATTTTATGATGACATAACATCCAAGGATAAATAGAGTAACCATGTCAAATACAATTGATAAATGACTTAATTCAATTCATATCCAATATAACAAGGAAAAAACAACTATAATCTAGCTTTCTAGCTATCAATGAAGGAAATACACGTGGACACAAATTAAAGCTTCTGGGGTTGGCAATTGTATTGCACGGTAATTGGGCGACGCCAATGAATAAATTTCGGCATTAGTTCAAGTGGAAATTGAGAAGGAACAAAAAAAGGTACTAAGAATAGTGAAAGATTGAGCATTCATATGCTCCTCAATAATGTCATCGAAGGTACTGAACACCAAGTGGCAATACTATTGGTTGGTGAGTGTCTAGAGGGATGGCAACGGGGCACCAATCCTCCATGGGGGCTTAATGGGCAAAAAACGAGCCCCATCGGGTGAAGCGGGGGTGGGGACCGTGACACCCGTTAGGCCCCAGAAAGCAGACAAAAAGAAGTCCAATAAGAGTAATTTCAGCCCAAACCAAAACATTGATATATGTACTATGTAACCCTAAAACTCAATGCACATCTCCTATCCTAGCCAATAGCCACAGGTCTCTTTCTCTTCAGATGCTTCTTCCCGAGTATCGACGCTTCTCCCATGACTCATGGTCGCTGGCTCTCTTGCCTATGCTTCCTCCTATGACGGTGCTTGATCCCGTCCTTCTCCTTCCCCGTGGCGACGTTGCTTGCTCCTGCTCTTCTTCTTTCCCATGGCTGCGTTGGCTTGCTCCTGCTGTTGTTGCGCCTCCTCCTCCCCCTTCCCCAATCCCCGTGCTGAGTTGCTACCGCGTTGTTGTCATTGCTTCGCCACCAGCACACCTAGGTGTTCCTGCTTCGTCGTCGATGCGCTTGGGGGATGCACTCAAACACACACCCATGTGGGATGGAACCGCCTCCGACTTGTAATTGGTTGTGCGACACCTGTCGAGGGCTCACGACTTCAATCGGGAATGGGAGAAGCTTAAGACAAGGGACAGGGAAAATCATAGAGATTGGGGATGGGGACAGAGACGGGGTGTCTCCGCCGGAGATGTCCTTGTTGCCATCCCTAGTGTTGACCATAAGGAACATGATTCTAGCCACATGTTCGGGCAACATAGTATCAATGGCAAAAAATGGGTTGTCGAGGAATTATCTATTTTAAACTTATCTAGGTTCATTGTTATTGGATGTAACAAGTATCACAAAGACTCACAGAGACAAATGGTGCCAACGTGAACAAAATTACGACCAACATTAGTTTAACGACAAGAATCAATGGACACCACAGATGATGAGAAACCAGTTTTTGAACATGTCCGAATGCTCCCATTGGTGATTGAGAGGGTAAGTATATTACTAAACATCAACAGCTCATAGGTAGTCCCATGTTGAGCCGTGTAAGATTTTTGATAATGTGGAGTGGAGATAGGAGGGTGAGAGAAATAGGCTATTTCACGAAACTAGGGCTGATCATGATTCACCAAAAAACAAAGACCGAACCGAACTAACCGAGATTGAGGCCGAAGTGACTGAGACCAAAATTTTTGGTCACTAGTTTAGTCACTTTTTAGTTCATAATATTTTCGTTTGAAGCCATGTTTGTACCAAAATAACCGATGATATCGTGTTTAGATCTACAAATCTAGATATGAATATTGTATCAATTTTTTAGGTATCAAAATGACCTCAAATGAAAAATGTCATAAAACACAAAGTTATAGTTCTCTTTCTTCTCTATAACTTTCATAAATTTTTTTTGTCTTCGTCCAAGTTCTTATATAAAAGTTATGATTTTTGTTAAGATGAGCTAGCAGAGAAAAGAAAAATCTGCCAATTCAACTGGTGGTAACCAATATTTTGGCAACCCAACGTTATGTCCTTCCTGACGCTTCAATGAGCAGCATTAGTATATTTTTGCAATTTTTTGATCAAGTCAAAAAAATTTGCAAAAAGCGAATTTAATAAAAAATAAAATGTTTCCAAAACATGGGTGGCCGAAACGGATGCACATGTTGAGCCAAATCTGGCCCATCAAAGGACGGAGGCCGAAGCTTGCCCCACACAGCCCGTGCTGAAATTTTGCACATGTTGAGCCGGTCGGAAAGCCCACATGGTTCCGTGGAGCTGCAGCCGCCAGCAGGATTGCAGAGGTGCAGTGCAGTGCAGAAGCCCGTGGATTCTGGGGAATCTTTTTTTGAAATAATATTATTTTAATAAATAACTGCAGATCTATGTGTTGTTTTTATAAAATTACAAAATTAGCATCCTATCGGCTATCCAGAAGCCGAGGGCCTACGTGTCCAGTCGTCTGGCTGAGAGCCGATAGTCCTATCGGCTTTACCGTGGCCGATTAGACTACTTGATACCAACATCCCCACATGCACCATTTATTTTTACGTTTTATTTTTTGTGCTCACAAATGAAATACCTAAACACCTTAATATATTGTAATTTTTTATGTAAATGCTAAGAATCAAACACAACCAATTTCGCTTGGATCTAGCATCATTGCTTTTATAGTTTTCAAATTAAAATTCTTCATGTAATGTTATATTTGAGTTTTTGCGTAAGTTGTTTAGCCCGGAAATGGTCTCCATAAATTTGAAAAAAATCCTCTAAATTCATGGCTCATAAAGTAGTACTTTATCATATAATTTTTCTACATATATGTTAGGTAAAATCCAAAGTTTCTTAATAAAGCACATGTTCAATATTATGTTTTAATTTGAGAAAATATAAATTAGCAGAAGTTGGAATGTGGTAGAACAGCCAATTTAAACTAATTATATGCATACTTGCTCACCAATGACACATTGTAAATCTAATGTATTTTGGAATTGTTTGGACAGAAAAATCACACGGGATTTAACGGCATCGTGCTTTTGTAAGTGCAATCAACAACAAAAAAATCAAGCCCATACGCACATGCTCCACAGTCTGACCGCACGCGTGGGGCACCCTCCGATGGTGGCAGACACGTGGATTCGGCAAGCACTAGCGGCGGCGCGTTCACGGCTCACGTAGGATCCACAACAGCGGTTCTTCCAAATCGAGCTCCCCCGGCAACGACGGCGGCGAGCAAGGGCGTTGGGGGCGAGGCCCAGATCCAGGCCCAGTTGGACTACGGGCTTTTTCCTTTTTTGTTTTTTATTTAATTAATCGAGGCGGATATTTCAACTGCCTTGGAAAAGAATGATTAACTGTGACCTTTTGTCCGAGGCGAATGCTATGCCCGCCGCGGTTAATCTATTTTGCCCGCCACAGTTAAAATTCTTGTAGTAGTTTGCAAAAAAAATGACTGAGGGAGTAGATATGTGAACAATAAGGAATGTAGGCATTAGGCAACTGGTATGTCCGTGCCCTTAGTGCTGAGATAACCATGCGAAAGAAAAGAAAAAGAATATGGCCAGTCCTGTCCCTATACTCTATCAGGTAGCCGTGTGTAAAAAAAGGGACATGTTCAGTCCAGCCAGGAGCGAGCAGGTTGCGGTGAAAAAATAAACACGCAGGTCCATGAGCCTATCGGCATTTGGCGGCCGACTAGAGCGTGTCGGCAAAAATTACATTGACGTGGATAGTACATAGAACGACGTGTTATCGGCAGTTGACTCACCAATTGGATTCTGTTGGTCACCAGTGACCGATAGGAGTCACGTCGTCTGCTGAACGGATGATAGGATGCTAGTTTTATAATGAGATAAAGATATCGTAGGTCCATCAACTTTTTGTGCTGTGTCATTTAGATCCATTAACTCTGAAAGTGCAGATCTGAGTACATAAATTTTTTAAGTTATGCCATTTAGGTCCATGCCCCTCCGTTTGAGGGAATAGATCCTACGTGGCAATACATGTCAGCAGCCACCGTACTCCAGATGTCATGTGAGCAGCACGTGAGGGCCCTTTGCCAATCGTTTTTTGCCGATATCCCCCTATGCTTTCCATTCCCTCACTCTTCACCCCTTCCTTTCCCTTCACTTCGAAGCCATCGTCACTCCCTGGATTT